CTATGGTTTAAGCATTTCATTCCTTTGACCGTCACATGCGGCTGGCCACGCATGGCCCTAACCTGCGCAGAGGAATAATAGAGAGCGTTTTGTTTCCTCTGGCGGGTAACGCTTGTTGCCCGGCCCCCCCCGGGTAACGCTAACGATTGGAGGGCGGACCCTCCTCCTGTCAGCAGGTATGGCGCTGTGCTCACAGGCATGGCGTGGTGCTGAAAGGCATGTATGGTGCTCACAAACGTGTTGTGGCGTTCGCAGGTTTCCCGCCTGTTGCGGCGCCGAATTCACAGGCATGGCGTGGTGCTACAAGGCACGTTTCGGTGCTCACCTGCCTGTTGTGGCGCCTGCAGGCTATTGCAATGCGCAGACTACAGTGGTTTACTGCTAGATCCCTATGTTGTTTTCCCCTGCTCTTCCTATTGGTGAAACTCCCGAAACAATGCTGCCAGGGGGGTTCGCAGCCATGTCTGGGTGGAGCAACGGTTACCCCGCATATGTTACAATTGGCGCTGACGAAAGCGAGGCGACGTCGAACGATGCCACGAGTGCAGTTGCTGTGTGGCACAACATAATCCGACCTCCTCCCGCCTGCTCCACCGCCTACTAATATCCTCCCCTTCTTCGTCGTCCTCTGCCCCTTCTCCTCCTCCTCCTCCTCCTCCTCGTCCTCCTCCTCCTCCTCCTCCTCCTCCTCCAGTCGCCGCTTCCTGCCAAGAAGAGGCGACCGACTGGCCAGATGGGCCAGACGCGCCCCCTTTCGTGTTCACCCCGCCACACAGCCGTAGGGGTGAGGGGGGGATGGCGCTGATCTCTCTGCTGCTTGCGACCGCTGCTGTGCAGACGACACTAAGAGGGGGGACGGACGACCAGCCAGCGAGGAGTAGCACGTTGTGCAGGAACAGGGAAGGAGACATGATAATTGCGACGTATAATCCTCTGTACGCAGACTTCGACAGGCATCAAGACATAAGCAGGGAGCTAAAATCATGGGACTGCGTGATACTGGCGGGCACACAACACAGAGCTGAGCTGGACTATCCCAGCGCGCAAGTTCAACTGAATCACCACTGGGGCGTACGGTTTGGGAAGGGAAGGGGACGGCACTCAAATAAAAGCTGCGGGGTGTCTATTCTGCTGGGTAACTCGTATAGCAAGACTTCATTGAGAGCTGTGTACGACCCGCCCAGTGCGATACAGGGGCGAGCTGGAGCGGTGCGCATCCGCACGGACCAGGAAGACCTACTCATCGTAGCGGTTTACTTTGCCCCTGTGACGACAGCGCGGAGCGCGGAGACGGCCGACCGTATCTGCAGCTGGATAGAAGGATTGTACGACAGAGCTGGCGTGAGAGTGACGATGCTGGTGGGAGGGGACATCAACAGTGACTTCGGACTGGCGAGAGACGAATCAGGCGTTATGGGGAGCACACAGGGACGGGAAGTAGGTAGGCACTACCCCCGCTGTGAAAACGAAAATGGGCTTCGTTTCAGAAAACTGCGTGCCGACAACCAGCTGTTTATGCCGAGTACGGACAGCGAGCTTGTGAAGCAAACGTTCTACGGGGCCAAAGGAGGAGGATCGAGGATAGACCACTTCGCGATCCCGTCGGGGGCCAGGGGCTTGGTACAAAAATGCTGTGTCCTCAAGAACTCGGGCAGGCGCCTGCAAGTGATTCGTAGCCGGTTCCCACGGGACCATGTCCCCGTGGGCTTGCAGATTCCCCTCGGTTTAGCGTCCCGCAACTATACCAGAATGCAGTACACGCCACCACTGGATAGAACGGCCCTCATGAGATGTCTGAGAGAGGGGGTCAAGAGGGAGGAGTTCTTTGAGAAGGTGGAGGAGGAGGCTAGGAAGACGACGGAGGAGGAGTGGAGGGAAGCGGCTGCGAGGAAGACTCCCGACAGGATGTGGGACCTGCTAGGTGGGACAGTGAGGACCGCGCTCAAGGAGGTATTCCCGCCTCGGAGGCGGGAGCTGCCCGAGTGGCTGAAAGAACTGCGGGACGCCAGGATGATGCTGCTGGACAAAAGGCGAGGACTGAGGGAGGGTGAGGGGCGGTGCAGGGAGGAGGAGAAGGAGGAACTCGAGCACGTGCAGGAGATGCTACGGCAGGTGTCGGCGGCTCTGAAAGACAACAGGAGGACGGAAACTAAAAGACGACAGGAGGAACTTGCCACGGAAATAGGGGAAGCGTATCTAGGGGGTAGGTGGGCGGAGATGCATGCTCTACGTGTGGAATACGCTAGAAACGGACGGGGGCCCAAGAAACGGTACTATTATGCAAGTAGGACCTACTGGAGCAAGGAGGAATGGGCTACTGAACTGGAGCGTCCACCGTATGAGGGTGGAATGGCATGCAAAACAGTGGAGTGGGAGGAGACACGGGCAGAGTACGAGGCAGAGTGCGAAGCCCACGGTGAGCTATTGTTCGATGATGTCGATCTGAGGGACCTGGTACGACAAGACAGATATGCCATGGAAAAGTATCTCAGGAAATGCAAGAAACGACGGGCTTGGCCAAGCTGGGGGCTTCCCAGCGAGGCATCACTACTGCTACTTGCGCCGACAGTGTACATGGAACAGCCACACAAACGGTCTGAAGCAATGGCAAAAGCGGCTCACGACAGGGCGGAGCAAGAGGAGGACGAGGAGGATTTGCTGAGGCAGACGGAGGTGAGGAGGATGGAGAAAGGAAGGAGACTGCTGGAGAAGATGGGATGGAAGAGTGGCGAGGGCCTAGGCAGGAGGCAGAGGGAGGAGGGGCAGGCACCACAGGAGATTATAGAAGATGAGCACTGGGTGTTTGGACGTGCGAAGGGGGCTGGAATAGGGAGCCAGAGATTCACGAGCGGTCAAGCGGCACCATTCTTTCAGACACAACTGGACAAGTGGTTTGTGCTTGTGAGACGTGCGCAGTGTACGCCGCTGGACACGCTACGGGCCCAGAGTTTTTCGTCCAGCAAAAACAATGGCAAAGAAGGAATTGCAGGACAACGACTGATGCACAGCTACTGCTCGTGGGGTCTGGCGTGGCACGCTGGAATCCATGAAAGGGCGCTCGAGGTTGAAAGGCCAGACTGGGCCCACGGTGGCCTAAAGCACAGGTCGCGTGAGAGTGCACTGGTCACATTACAATCAGCTCAGTGGAGGTGCAGGCAAGTACAAATACCATATGTGACGACCAATTTCGACTGCACAAATGCATTCGCCAGTACACGGAGAGACGTTCTGGAGGCCACGGTTGCACGACAGTCAGCAGAAAGTGATGAAATGTTTGCACTGGGGGCAGTCCAGCACCAAGCCATGAGCATCGCAGGGAGCAATGGGAGGGCAGACATGATCAGTACGACGGGCGCGCAGATGGGCTTCTGCTTAGCCCCTAGGGACTTCAACGATTGCTACAATCCTGTTATCGCCGCGTGGCTTGCAGAAGACCCAAACGATGCAAACAGGCTGCTGAAGGCTCTCTGCCCGGTGACGAAGAGGTATTCGAATCTGTCGATATGCACGTTCATGGATGAAGTGACGAAACTGTCTATGTGGGAGGGTGGGGTTACTAGCTACGGTATTGCTGCAGAGCTCAATCTTATGACGAAGAGGTTGGAGGAAAAATTGCTGGAGGGAGGGGGCTGGCACCTCAATCCATCAAAGACAGGACACATGTTAAGCATCATGGGCGAAGGGTGGCAGGGCATTACGAGAAAGCTCAGAAGCAAAAACAACGGAGTGATGGGGGAGACGGGACGAGAGCTTCGGGTGCTAGGACCACATCTACACACGACGGGCAATCTAGGAGGAGAGATTAGGAGGAGGATCGCCGCTGCTAGGAAGGCGTGGAGGATTGCAGGAGTGTTCTGGAAATCCGAGACTCCCAGGGAAGTACGTAGAATGATGTTCATCGCCTTCGTGCAAGGGGCGGCATTGAGCGGACTTGTTAGTATGGTGCTCGAACCTCGTCTGACTGATGCGATCGACACGGCTTTGTGCAAAATGCTGAGGTGCCTGGCGCAGGGGAAGTGTTCGTGGCAAGAGCAGGACGGAAACGTGCGACAACTAAGAAAAGAGGAGGTGTTTAGGAAGTGGAAGATAAACCGTGCTTCGGACGAGCTGAGGATTCGAAGGCTTAAATGGTACCAGAAGTGGGCGGCGTTTCCCGAGGCGCACTCGCAGGTGACGGCGGCAGTGTTCGGGTCGACGCCCCTGGACCTGAGGCACGGCACACCTAGGCTAGAGGAGGGGGGGATTAGCACCTACAGTACGCCGTGGGCGTACCAGTACTTGCAGGACCTTCAGTATTTGCGTCAACAGTGTGAAGACATGAGTTGGTACGACGACAGGGAATCTGACATATCTATACTACAGTGGGGGACTGAGGACCACCGATGCTGGCTGCGCACTGATGTGGACATACTACGTATGAACATGAAGGTACACAATATCTGCACTGCGGATCTACAGGAGGAGGAGCTGGAGGAGGAGAAGCAGTACGTATGTGAGGAGGTGGTGAAGGGGGACGACGGGGAGGAGCACGTATGTGGGAAACGGTACAAAACTTACAGCGGTCTTACAACACACAAAACGTGCCAGCACGGACAGAGGGCGTTGTTGAGTCTGCTGACGGTAACAAATCAATGCCCGTGGTGCCGAAGCACTTTCTCCAACAGAGACGTGGCCGTCCAACATGTGTACTCGGCGTGTGAAGACAGGAAGGTATGTTTCGTCAACTTCAGCCCGTGGAAGCACGATGTGATGCAACCTAAGAGTCTGGAGTGCCCCGTATGTTACATTCAGGCTCAAAGCTTGGAAGCGCTGCAGGCCCATGTTACCACTCACCACCCTGGGCCTGATCGGGCTCGCTTCACTCGTGACGCAGAAGACAGAGGATGCGATGGCGTGGAGAGTGACGGGGGCCCACGCCGCAGAGGGAGGAGTACCAGGCGCTGGGACCTCAGCAGGCTCGCGAGGGCCTCAGCCCGCGCCCGCGCACCCAGCCGCCCAAGGCGCGCAGGCGGGAGGGGCGGCGCTCGGCAAAGGAGGCAAGATTCACCCACCAGCGCCCAAGTACCAGCGCCTGGGCGGGGGCAAGCGCGGCGGGGGCTCGGACGAGGTCGACCTGGTGGACGCGATGGTGTCGCTCCAGAAGATGGGGCTGAGGCAGGACCAGCGCGCCCGAGAGCACGAACACATGTTGTCCCTGTTCTACATGATGACCAAGAAGAGCAAGATCTGCCAGATGGGCCTCGAGGCGGGCCTCGACTACTACGCGGCGGTGGCGAAGAGGGGCAAGGGCCACGGATTGGGGGCGCCTTACCTGCACGCGGCCGCGGGAGCGTTCGACGGGCTGGTAGAGGACGCACAGGAGGGCCAGCACAAGGCGGTGCTCCAAGCGTACCAGAGGCTGTTCCACACGGAGAAGGGCATGAAGTTCGCGAAGGAGGTTTTCGGCAGTTTCAGAGTGAAGGAGGCGTACAACGAGGAGGGAACGGCGGAGAAGGACGTCAAGGTGAAGGTGAGCTTCAACCTCAATCCCCTGGCAGACGTGGCGATGCTCATAGAGTGCCTGAAGGTGAAGACGGAGGGCGACGTACCGAGCCTGGGAATCTTGAGGAGGGCGATGATGCTGGCCCTCGAGGAGGCGGGCGGAGTGCAGTCGGACGGGCCCGCGCCAAAGGACGAGCTGACCAGGGTGGCGGAGCGACAAATGCAAGGGCTGCAGAGGATGCGCGGCTGAGCGGCGCGACGGCCCTGACCATCGTGCAGCTCGAGCGGCTGAGGAGGATGGCGGCAGCTGGCAGTGTCCGCGCACGGCAGTTGCTGGAGACAGCAGAGCGGCAGAGAGAGAGGCGTTAGGGGGAGGCTGCGCCCAGAGGAGGCAGGCCACCCCCACCATCGACACGAGGCGAGAGTTCCCCC